AATGAGCTTGCAAAAGAGTAAGAGAGGAGAGTTAGATTTATGCATTCATGATCAAGACAATCATATTAAATAATGGTTTTGATTTTCTAATCTACATGGAAAGCACTATGAGAGTAATTATGTTTCCCAAACATAAACAGCATGAATAATTGCATCAAGTATATCTACAGTACTGTCTTCCAAAATAGTCTTTATTAATTTGTATTCAGTTATACATAGTTGATACCTCTTTATCTTTTAACTTTCTTGGTTACTCAGAATGATTTTCTAAGCATTTATAAAATAATACTCATGGTTGTATAATTAAATGAAATAAAGTGTGTAAATTGAAAGGAAAGGGAACTATCTGAACCTCAATTTATCATTCTACATGCTTAGCCATATTCACTTTTTGAAGTTTCCCTGGATTTTTTTATTGCCTTGAATTTTATTTTCCTTACAGTAAAACTACCTGGCTCATTAGATACATAAGACTTAAAAGCATATCATATTTTTAGCCATATTGGAAGTATGGAATGCCACATGTCCAATGTTTAACTGAAAATACAAGAGATTACAGAAATCTCTTGCTATGAGCAAAGCCAGTAGTTCTATAAGGATTTTCTTTTGACGTTGTAGACATTCTGTAAAACTTAATATACAATACATTATCATTAATTGACTTGTGACACTGTTTTCACATTAGTCAGTCCTGACAGGTACAATCACTATGTTTGAACAACAATGGAAGCAGTGCAGTGAAGGTTTCATGTTTTGCTTTTGTTCTTCTTGATGTTCTGTGGCATCTGGTAGACATGAGCAAACATAATTCTGAGTGAAGGACTTTGTTTGCTTTTAGGTAACTGAGGTACTTTGAAGAAACCATTGGAGCACTTAGAATATACAGATGTACTGGCATTTCACTATTTACTCTAATAGCGAAATAACTAGTAAAAGTGAAATAAAATAAATAGGGAGATATGTGAAGAGCTCACAACATCTGTCTCGATCTGAATGTACACCGACAGTAGTTGAAGAACAATATAAGAAATGCCTGCATTCAAATTAGTTGTTCACGAATAAATTCAACTCAACATTTTAACGTCCACATGCTGTCCTTGATACTCAAATAAAGAGAAGTTATTTCTGCATTTTAATAGATTATGACATGATGAGAAGGACAGGTCAAAGTTGTACAAATAAGTCAGAATGTAATAAAGACAGATAAAACAGATTAATGTTTATAAGAGTTACATATTATTAAAAATCTTAACTTGATAATATCTGTAAACTCATGAAAATATATTTGAGCTTATTTTGTGGTATAAAACAGAGTAGATACCTGTCAATTATAGACATCCCTATTTAGTATTTGGATTATGACACTGAAGTGTGTATTGAATAATATTTTACATTTTGGATCTGGGGACTACCCATTAATTTCTATGACTACAAGAAGGTGTAGCAGAAATGATGCTATTATAAATATGGGAGATCATGCTGGAATTTTCATATTATTTGGGAAAAATTAATTGGTATATGTAAGAAAAGATCTTAAATGTTTTGATAGTTCTTTTTAAGGTTACTTTCACCTAAAGCAATTAACATACTCTTGTACATTAAATTTAAAAGATATCATTATCTCCCATTCTTGGACTGTTTGCTTTCTATCATATCTACTTTAGCACGCATATAAATAGGATTGCCATTTTGGTAAAGATAGGGCCTATAATGAAACTATGAGAGCAAGGGAATTGTCACTGCACATTAAATAGAAGAAAAACTATACAGTAGAAATCTAAACTTAATGATAGAGAAAAGATCATAGTTAAATTAAGTGTTACTTGAGACTCTATCTCACCTTGATTATTTGGAAAATAGGTCCCTTGTTTGTCTCCCTAGATAAACTGCAGTCCCTAGTTTCTCATGTTAGCCTGTTGAAAACATGTACTCTACAATACTTGGATAAACAAAATACTCTTGTGTTTAAACTATTTGTACATATATCTCCTTTACAATGGGTTTTCCTCTGGAAAGGAGATTTGTGTTCAGAAATATTTTTATCTCAAAATAGAGGTCTACTTTATTATATATGTGTTGTCAATGAATCCTTATGTAAACAACAAGCTTCTCAAATAGATAAAATCATTCAACAATGCTCATATATTTTTGTTGCTTCGTTTAATATCTGAATATTTTCTTCCAGTTATACAACTTCATTTTATTTTTCTCTATTCAAAGTGCATGAATTTTGGTATTAATCAATTTATCAGTGTGAACGTCAGTTGGAATGATATATCATATTTTAATTATTGAAGACATAATTTATATAAATTCAATTCCAAAGTCTTTCTAGAAGTTAATACTTCACTTTTTGTTTTATATATTAAAATTGTCCAGTTGCAGGAAAAGTGACTCAAAGCCAACATTTACAGAATTACATTCTGGGAGTTAGGAGGTCAATTTATAGGAACATGTCAAAATTAAGAAGGGAGTTGACTAAAAAGTAGGTCCTTCATCATTTTGACATCATATTTTCTGATAAGATAAGGATCTTTTCAGAGAGAGAAATGGAGGTGCTATATTGTATAGTGGTCCTAGGGAATTTTTCTATCGCCATAGCAACTACATAGAGTATGGTTTCATTTTTAGAGGGTCAGAAACTATAAAGATCACTTATTTCTAGACAAACTAAAGAGTAAAAAGCTGTAAGAAATTTCATCTTTGACTTTAAACTATGAAAAGTGCTACAAAATTTTCTTTGGTACATAGACCAATTTTTTTTTCACTCCTAATGCCTGGGGGACAAGAGGATGTGCTAGGGTTTTAAAAGTGATTTTCTGGCCTCCAGCCAATTTTGATAGCATTCTCAGAGAAAGCACCAAGGAACTATTATCTAGATATCCTAGGAGTATGACAACCCCTGCCCCAGTTTTTGTTTTGACTTTTCTAATTTCACATAGAAAGTTTTTCTGTTTTTTCAACATGCTTCCCAGCATTGGTAAAACCATTCATAACTCTATTCAGAGCAATTCTACCACTTTACAGAAAATTGAGTGCTCTTTGGAGACTTAGATTGAAATCAAGAAATTTGCAAGCTCACATCCTCAGAGACTAAACATACACACTGAAGCCTTAAGTCCATAATTTTTCAAAGCTACAACTGGACAACTTTTATGTTCTGGGATGTAAGATCATTCTCTTCTTTGTGGAATTTTTTCCTCCATAGGTACTCACAGGTAGGCATTTAAAGCATTTGAGCTCCCAATGTACAGATATATGTAGCTGATTCTGCAATGTGAGTCAATGGAACAAGATGATTTCTTGTTATCAAGTAGAAAGTTCTTCAGAATAATGGATCCTTGCTATTGACCTGGCAACAATGGACAAAAGGGATTTGTGGATTTGTGATGTATAACATCAGAGGTTGAATCAGATTAACTGCTAGTGACATCAAATGGCATCATCAGGCAAGTTAAGGGAAACAGCAATGAAGTAGTGTTGGTATATATTCCTAGCACAGGATCTAATCTGGCTAGAAGGCCAGCCCTAACCCCAACAAAGTCTCTAGGTTATTGAAAGAAGATAGTACACTAAGCACCAGTAGCTCATGCTGTCATACTAGCTATTGAGGAATATGAGATCTAGTGATCATGGTTTGAAGACAGACGAGGCAGGAAAGTCCATGGGAGTCAAGTGGAACTGTGGCTCAAGTGCAAAATGCTAGCCTTAATCAATAAAACCTGGGGACTGTGCCCAAGTCCTGAGCTCCTGCCCCAGGACTGGCACAACAAAATAAGATTGTAGTTAAATTTTACCAAATAAATAAAGGCACACTGTTAAGAGTCCTGCTCGAGCAGTGACTTTGAGAGTATTGGAAGCAGACCTAAATCCAATCTACCTTGTTAAACTTTTTATATCATCATTTTTTATTAGTAGTAGCTTTTTGTTCAATAAATGTCTGATAACAAATACAGAAAAAATATAGCATTAAGCTATTTCCCTTTGGTGAAAGAGGATGCCAATGAAAGTTTTCTCAGTCCCCATTTATACTTTCCACACTCAGAAATTTCTCTTGGTAAGATCACCAAATGCCAAACTGACTTTTCACTCCAAGTCATAGCTGCATTTGATTTGTTGGCAACTCTTCCTCCTGTGTGATATTCTTTCCTTCCTTGATTTTGAACTTTGCTTTTCTGGATTTTTTTTTTGGTTTTGGTCTGATGAAAATTTGTATTTGGGCATATTCATCTTTGTTGCTCTGGCTGTTCACAAACATTGATTTGTAGGAAGCCTTTCTTCTCAGTATTTTACTCAAAACCTTCCTCCAGCAGTTTGACAGTCTTACATGCTATCCATATACATACAAAAAAGGAGATTGAGAAGTAGCAGGGCTGAAAATACAAGGAAAAACTCAACTAAGGTTGCAGAATGAAAATGGAGGAAATTTTCGGTTTAGAGACTGATGAAAATGAACTATTCATTGGATTCAAGCATGTTAAAGTTATTGATCTTCAGGGTAATAACTGTAAAAAGTCAATAATTATTAGGGGACCTATTATTTTATACAATATATATTAATACAAACAGAAAATAATTGTAACACTGTTTCTTCTAGAGCTGTTCATTTTTTTACATGGCAAATTTAATTGGAGATCTTTAATGTGCAGTGTATTTATAATGACATATGTGCTTGAGGTTCCTCAAAAGATTAAACAAAGACCTCCCCTATGATTCAGCAATCCCACTCTTGGGCACTTACACACAGCCACAAACACAGCCACATTAAGGCTACCAGCACAACCATGTTCATTGCAATATTATTTACCATAGCTAAGATATGGAACCAACCTACCCTCAGTAGATGAACAAATCAAAATGATATGGTATATATACACAATGGTGTTCTATGTCTACATCCAGAAAGAATATTATTGCCCCATTTGTAAGGGCTATTTCTTTATATTTGCTTTCCATGGAAAGTTGATTCATTTTTTCGTTTTAAAATTTCCTTATTACAGAATATAAAGGACAGTATACAACAAATCTCAGGTCGGATTGATGTTATTTACAAGAAGAAGACAGCAGCATTGCAAAGTGCCACACCCACAGAAAAGGCAAAGCTACAGGAAGCTCTCTCCCAGCTGGATTTCCAATGGGAAAAAGTTAACAAAATGTACAAGGACCGACAATGGTAGGTAACATTTTCATTTTACTTACGATTTTACCTCGTTTCAGAAAATAGATTTATTTCGGTGTTGTCCATAGAAAAAGAGAAGAGAGGGAGAAATATTATCATTAGAGAAAGGTAAGTGAAGAAAGGGAGAACATATAAAAATGAAGAGCTTAGATTAATGAACTAAAATATGGAATTTATTTTCTACTGAAATTAACATTTTGTTGGACAATACATCATCCTCTAAATTTTCATGTAGTGTTGAAAGTAGTTTTGCATTTAATTAAGGCATAAGAAATAGTTTTAAATATAAATATACATATTTTCACAAGTCTGTCTCCTGCATATTTATGATAAGTTAATACTTAGGTAATATATTTAAAATATAACTTATCATCCAAACATCGATTTTCCTTTATTGTTTCTGTTTTGGAGATTTATACTATATGCATTTTGTAGTTTCATGTCCTCTGTAATCCTTTTTTTACTACAGAGAATTTGTTAAGTATATCTAAAATAATTTTAATACTTCTTTTAATTAAAATATCTGACTTTTGTTGTACTTTGTGGAAGAGTCACATATAATTTTTAGCTTTATTTTTCAAGAAGGTAAAATATTTTATAACTTTAGATGAAAAGAAATAATGTTCTCCAGAAACTAAAAAAAAAAACAAAAACATTTCCAAGTCTCTTAATTTGAAGGCGATCTTCATTACTACCAGATGAAATAAAATCAATTGTTTAATAATTATCTGGAATGTTTCTGGTATCTCTTCTATCTTTCCATTGTTACCTAGCTTTACTTCTATTTTACTTATGCATTTTTAGTACATTATGAATTGAAATTTGTACTTCTGGCTTTAATTTCAATTGTCAGTGATGATTGTCCCTACTTTGTTTCCCATTATAACTCATCCATAGTTGTTTCCAAAAGCATAAAAGTTTTGATACTATAACCTCACATGCCTGAGGACAAACTACAGAGCATTATAAGAACTTCACATGGCCCCTACCTGGTCACTTTCATGTTATGTAACTTAATTCCTGTCTCACAACCTTCTCATATTTTATTCTAACAATATTAAATTTATTTGCTAGTTGCAAAATGTTTTGTGTTCTCTCTGGCTTATCTGTCCTTCAGGTCTCACCAGAGATGTTACAACCTTAAAATCTAAGATGATAAGTGAATCAGAATTTCTGTAAACTTGGTTATGATTTCACCACTTAATGTAACTTAATGTCAACAAATCATTTTATGAGTGTTTGCAGCCTTGGTGGCTACCTTCACAAGTATATTCTCCAATAGTACCTATAATATACCACATAGAAATCGACTTTAGTTTTTGCCTCTTGCAACAAGCTCCTTAAAAGATAGAAAAACCTATTTTGTGTGATTCATTCAATTTTACATAGAACTGAGCACAAAATGGGAAGTCTGTGTATATGGACATAAGCTCTTACAAGCCCGAGACTATTTCTCTATGGTTGTTCTAACAGATTTATCTCATCTTCCTAGAAAACTGCAGATACTAGGATGTCTAAAGCCAATCTTAATGTGAGGAAACTTAAAACTAAGTGTGGTAGTATATAGCTATAATTATAGAAATTTGTGAAGATAAATCATTAAGATCACAGGTTGCAGGTCACCTGGGGGTAAAACTAAGGAGACTCTTTCCAGAGAAAGGAAGGAAGGAAGGGAGGAAGGAAGGAAGGAAGGAAAGAAGGAAGGAAGGAAGGAAGGAAGGAAGGAAGGAAGGAAGGAGAGAGAGGGAGGGAGGGAGGAAAGGGAAGAGAAAG